AAAGGACAATCATCTCATTGAGGATTGTTACAAACTGAAAAACAAGAGGAAGAATGAGGGAGGTGGAAGGAGTTTTGCTGGATCCATTGACACAAATGGTACTGATGGTGTTGTTTCTTCTGGTGACAGTTCTCAGAGTCCCAATAGTCTTGTTTCTGAGAACAGGAATAGTCAAGATGGGTAGTCCATTTGGTTTTCAGCTGAGGAGATCAGTAAGCTGTGCAATGTCCTTCAGCAGCAACCTTCTCACACCTCTCAATTCCCTCAATCCAATTCTGTTGTGGCTCGTACCAATGGATCTCGTCACACCATTTCAGGTAGCACTTGCCTCACTTCTTCCACTCAGGATGCTTTGTCTGTTGTTTGGGTGCTTGATACAGGTGCTAGTGATCACATTATTTGTAATGTGAATCTTTTCTTGAGGTCTCAGGAAGTCCATAACATGTTTGTCAACTTACCTAATGGTCAAAAGTCTAGAGTGACTCACATAGGACTGGTCAAATTGCCTTGTGACATTCTTCTTACCAATGTTTTGTTGGTTCCTTCTTTCTCCTACAATCTCATTTCTGTTAGTCAGTTAACCAAAAACACACCAGTTTCACTCATGTTTGAATCCAACTTCTGTTGTATCCAGGACCTAATATCACAACAGAAGATTGGTTCAATCCGGATAGATAGAGGGCAGTACCTGTTTGGGAGTGCTGCTGGGAAACCAAACACCAACCCACCTCACGTCCGTGGAGTCAAAACCAGTCTAGATTCTTCTTTATGGCATCTCAGACTTAGCCACTTATCTATTCCTAGACTAGAGACTATCCATAAACAGTGTAATGAAGTTTTTGTTCCCTCTAACTCACAATGTGAGATTTGTCAGTTGTCCAAACAGAAGAGGATTCCTTTTCCTCTAAGTCATTCTCGTAGCAAGAATAGTTTTGATCTAATCCATTTGGATATATGGGGTCCTGTTGACGTTGTTTCACATGATGGTTTCAAGTATGTCCTTACAATAGTGGATGATTTTAGCAGATGTACTTGGTTGTTTCTAATGGGCTTCAAATCCGAAGCTAGAGCTTTACTGCAATCATTTTGCTTGATGGTGAATACTCAATTTGATAAAAAGGTCAAGATCATTAGATCTAATCAAGGCCAGGAGTTTAATATGGTTGAATTTTACAATTCACATGGAATTATTCACCAAATGAGCTGTATGAGAACAGCACAGCAGAACGGTAGAGTGGAGAGGAAACATCAACACTTGTTAAATGTTGCCAGGTCACTCAAGCTCCAATCAAGCATGCCTAAGAGCTTCTGGAGTCACTTTGTACTTCACGCTGCTTATTTGATTATTCAAATTCCCACACCAGTCTTAGAGCACAAGTCACCTTTTGAGTGTCTCTATGGTGTTCCACCAGATTACAGCAGCTTGAGGGTATTTGGTTGTATGTCTTATGCCACAGTCTTGGATGATCACAAAGGCAAACTTGATCCCAGAGCTCGTAGAGCTGCTTTCCTTGGTTATCCCTTTGACATCAAAGGTTATAAGTTGTATGATCTAGATAGTTTACAAGTTTTCATCAGTAGGGATGTGTTTTTTCATGAAGATGTGTTTCCCTTTAAAACATCTTTGCCTGCTGATATGCCTGATCCTATGCCTAATCCCTTTTTCCACTCTCTTTTCTATGATGATTCTCCATCACATTCTCCCATTCTACCAGCTGATCATGATGTTGCAGAAACAGTTGATCCAAATTATTCACCTTCTGGTTCCTCTCATTCATCTTCCCCTCTTACTTCTCCAGCCCTTCCTATTGCCTTACATAAGCCTTCTAGAACATTGAAGAGACCTACTTATCTTTCTGACTATCATGTCAGTCTTCTCACTTCTGCTCCTTCCTCTCATGATTCTAAACTTCTGTATCCCCTAAGTGACTGCATCAGCTATGCTCATTTGTCTCCCTCTCACAAACACTTCTCTCTTTCTATCACTGTCCTACCTGAACCACAAAGCTATCAGCAGGCAAAAGGAATTCCCTGTTGGGACAATGCTATGAAGGAAGAGATGACAGCCCTTGATGTTAATAGGACTTGGGATATTATGGATCGTCCTGTTAACAAACCAGTTGTGGGTAACAAATGGGTTTACAAAACCAAATATCTACCTAATGGTACTGTGGAAAGATGCAGGGCTCGTTTGGTGGCCAAAGGCTATACACAAACTTATGGTGTTGATTTCATGGACACTTATTCTCCGGTTGCCAAAATGAATTCTGTAAAGTTACTACTAGCAGTTGCTGCCATTAAAGGTTGGGATTTGCAGCAAATGGATGTGAGCAACGCTTTTTTACATGGGGATTTGGATGAGGAAGTGTACATGGAACTTCCTCCTAATCTGAAAGGTCAAGAAGGTATGGAAGGGAAGGTTTGCAAACTCAACAAGTCTCTTTATGGCCTTAAGCAAGCCAGTCAACAGTGGTACCTTAAACTCAGTCAGTGCTTACAGAATTTTGGCTTCATTCAGTCCTATGACGATTATTCAATGTTCAAATTACAGAAGCAAGATTCATGTGTCATCATCATCATTTATGTTGATGATTTGATTCTTGCTGGTAATGATCCAGCCCTGATCACTCAAACTAAGAATCATCTACATATTTCATTCAATATTAAATACCTAGGCACCCTCAAGTACTTCCTTGGTGTTGAAATTGCCAGATCTGCTGCTGGCATTTCACTATGTCAACGGAAGTTCTGCCTGGAGCTGTTATCTGATGCAGATTTTCTTGAAGCCAAGCCTTCCAAGAATCCTATGAGCATGAAAACTTCATTATCTGCTTCTGATGGGACTCCTCTTTCAGATGGATCCGAGTTTCAACACCTTTTGGGACAACTTCAATACCTCACTACTACCCGTCCTGATATTTGCTTCCCTGTTCAGCAACTCTGCCAATTTCAGGGGGCCCCTACTATAGTTCACTTGCAGGCTTTACACAGGGTGCTGAGGTGTCTGAAATCCCATCCATCTCAAGGATTGTGGTTTCCATCATCCAGTTCCACTCTTCTCCAAGGCTATTACGACTCTGATTGGGCAACTTTCCCTGACACAAGGCGCTCCGTTACTGGTTACTGCACATTCCTTGGGAATTCATTAGAAACCTGGAAAAGCAAGAAGCAATCCACAGTCTCTCGATCATCTTCTGAAGCGGAGTACAGAGCTTTGGCTCAACTCTCGTGTGAAGTTCAGTGGCTAAAGTCACTCCTTGAATTTTACGGAATCAAGCATCCATCACCTGTTTAGGTTTATTGTGATAATCAATCTGCACTCCATATTGCAGAAAATCCAGTCTTTCACGAGCGAACAAAGCATATTGAGGTCGATTGCCATGTAACTCGTGAAAGACTGCGATCTGGGTTACTCTCTCTACATCACATTCAGTCAGAAGAACAGCTTGCGGATTTCTTCACAAAAGGGTTGTCTTCTGATCGCTTTGAAACTCTTCTCTTCAAGCTGGGAGTTCATGACATGTACCTCCCAGCTTGAGGGGGCCTGTGAAGGAATGTGATGCAGCCAGCAACCCATTGATGAAGAGCTTGAATGACAGAGTCGTCTCGAGCTTCCTTTCACTTGAGATGAAGAAGAAGAAAGGCTGCAGCAAACCGACGTCGTCTTCATCTTAGTAAACACTGCAAGAAGAAGAACGGCGTCGTCCAAGTGATCCAGATAATAAGAAGATGTTAGCCACTTGGCATTCAGCGATAGGATAAAATAGTTACCGTTGCTTAACAGTGTTTTACTTTACCTTTCGTTTGTTCTGTAGTGGTAAGATAGTTGTAGCTGTTGTATATAAACCCTTATCAGAAAATAGAATGAAGCAGACTGCTAATTTCCCCAACGCAGCAATCGTCACTTTGTTCCTCAAATACCCTAATTCTTCCCTAGGGTTTCAGGCTTTCTCATCCTTGCATAGTTCAATTCATTTTGTTAAGGCAAAACTTTATAACATAGGTGTTTAGAAACTCTTCTAGTGGAAGTAAATATGGCAGGTAGTTTTGGTGCCAGAGTAAATGCTCAAGAATTTGGCAACTATGCCTTCACAAATAAATTCTAAGAAAATATCAGGGCAAATTTATTGAACTGGAAGCTATTTATGAGCTCGCAGATTTACTCCTATGGCATATGAGACATGGCGAATAATAGTATATTTTTAGATTGAAGTATGATAAATTCAAACCAAACCAATCAATCTTAACTAGATTTATTATCAGTTATAACTTATAACGGAAGTTGAATACTCTAGGTGAAGCTATCCTAGTCAACACATTTTATTCGTGCGCCTCCACAATCTTCAATTGCTACTTTTTTACTATCTCATGCACTTATTTTAGTATAAACGAGGCTAGCTAGAGGCACTTCAACTCCGTTTGTAAATTGTAATACTCGAAAGTCGAAACACTAGCAGTAAATCTAATGTAGAAACATTGTTTGAGAACTTATGAAATACAACCCTAAATATTTTTCAGAAATTATTTTTTCCGACATACTACAGTCACCACATGTCCAATCAAATGGCAAACCATCGATTCTGCGGTCAACCTCCATGTGTCACATAATTGATAATACAAATCCAAGAACTTTTGTTGATGTATTGGGCATATTTCTTTGAATTACTTCAATCAATGGAAGCGAGCAATTGACCATCGTAAACCCTGTCAAACACACACAGACTATAGTATAAATTACTATATCGATTGATCGCATCCCCCCCTATCCTACTGGCGGTCGCCAATGTACACAAAACCCTAAGTCATCGTGATTTTGAGAATAAGGTCGGGAGAGAAACCAAAAATGTAAAATCCGTGAATTCTAACAAGTAAATATATGAATCATATATTAACAGAAAGAATCATCCCTCCTCGAAGCATAAGAAACAACAAAGAACCCATATAACAAATCGTTAAAAAAAATTGAATGCAATCATCAGATAACAAATCGAAATTGAAAATCAAGCAATGTGGAGGGATTTCCCTAACCGCAAGCTCAAGTCGTCATTCTCCATCGGCGTCAAGTTCAAGTCCAAATCCAAGCACGTAGCCCGATTCTTGGCGGCGGAGGAGGATATCTTCATCGTCGCCAACGCAGGCAACAGACTCAACGCGGCCCGGTGGCGCCTCATGTGACCTCCACCAAGGGCCTGGCCCATGGCGAATTCCGATCCGCAGGTGGCGCACTCGTGGGCCTTGTTATTGGGCTTCTCCGCCGAGACGAGCGGGCCCATCTTGTTGTGGCTGGCCCGGCGGCCTCCCAGGACCTGGAACAATGTGAACTTCTTCTCGCAGGTCTTGCATTCGAAGAAACGACCGGCACCCGCTGTCGTCGTGGACCGCGAAACGGCGCCGTCGTTCTCCTTGGCGTGCTTGGAGAGCAGAATCAAGCATCCGGCCAAGCCGCGCATCTGGCGATCGTCTCCGGTGGCACGGGCGGCGGGGAATCTCTTCATCGTCATTGTGATATCAATGTTGTGTCGGAAACTGAATTTGACGAAGGGTGTTTCCCCCGGTTGGAGTGGATTATTGGGAGTTTGGAGGAGATGTATTTATAAGGAAGATGGGTAAGGGAAAGTAAAGCGTGAGGCGGTGGCGTGTTTGTGTGGAAGCGGCGGATTTTTTTTTTTCGTTCCGCTTAGGGTTGGGTTAGTAACTAAATCCGAATCTTTAGACCTAAATGGGTCCAGAGTAACTAAATCTGAATCTTTTAGATCTAGATGGGTCCAGAAAATCCAGATCTAAAAATTGTCAATTAAAGACATTTTATTTCCCCTAGTTTTCATAATTGACTCTTATTTTCTTCGTTCTAACTCGGATTTTAATTTGTTTTTGCACCAAATGGAACGAGCTTGTTGTGTTCTACAAAATGAGATCAATTTTCAATCTATTTTGAGAAACTTTTTTTTACCAACTACATACCATATGATAACTTTTTCGTTTTTAAGTCGTTTTTTAAAACATTTGCTCAGAAGGAAAGAGTTCGTCATGATCTATTGTATCTAAAAATTTCTGGGTGAAAAAAATACTGGACCAAAAATTACCATACTTTACCACTATGGTATCTGAGTGGTAACTTGTAGTAAACAATGATGAAAGTAGTAAATGACAGTTAGTATACTCCAACTATAATGTATTCAACCTTCTTACCATATTGGTATGTTCATACCATCATAGTACGTTTTCTTACCATATGGTATTAAATAGGAGCATACCATAGGGTAATGATTGGTAAAAAATTATTCAATTTTTTTTGTACTAAAAATATATCAAAGTGGATATCATTTTAAAGAGCACATTTAATCTGGTTTATCTGTGCAAAAAGATTTAAATTTCCACTTAAAACGAGAGAGAAATCGTTCGTTAAAGATTAAAAGGAAAAGATAAAAGACTTTCGAGGAGAAAGAGGAATACTGATGTCATGCTGATGTGGACGGATTACTCATGGTTACCATAAGGTTACTGACCTGATCCGTTCCCTCTCCGTTCCTACCTCGGATTCAGACAGTTCTGTTCTTGGCTTGGGGGCTAAGTAATTTTGTTAGGGCTAGATCCAAGGGTATTTTGGGTATTAGGTCGCAGAACTTGTGTGGAAATTCACAGTGGGCTAGTTAGTAGTGCGCTGTTTTGTTTTCCGCTTTTCGGTTTATTAGTTGCATCAGTTTAGTCTAGTGGATGTGAGTAGTTGTTGGCATGTCGGTCACTTGAATTTGGTTCAATCGGTGTCAGTTATGTAATCAATATGAACATCATTGATATGATTAGGGCTGGAAGTTTGGTACCGGTATTTGGGATATACCAAATACCGTACCAAATTTAACATTATTTGGTATTATCGAATACCGGCTTATTTTTTAGGGATTGGGATTCATTTTGGAGTGCTATTCGGTATTCGGGATTATGGAATCGGGATCGGTATATACCGAAATACCGATAAATACCGAAAATTAATGACTAATGAAATATAACACACAACATTTAGTCATTCCTCACTCTTTCACAACTTAGAAGTTCCCATCAAACTCAATTTTGACTTTCCAGTTTACGTCACCCTCGTCTCTCACCTAATCTCTTGTTATTTTCACAACACTAAAAAAGAAAACACTAGTATTAGCCGTCTCTCAACCTCCAATTCGTCAAATTAAAGATTACCAATGACAAGAACTCGAGATGTCACCTCTCCTCCATTCTCTTTATACATATTCTAGCTCTAGGCAAACACAAGACTATTTGTTTAGTCTCTTTGCCCTAAATTAAACAATCAAATCTAATTTATATATTTTATTATTAATTACAAAAGTAATTAATTTATATTCGATAATACCGATTGGGATACCGAAGTACCGATTGGGATACCGAAATATTTAAGGATTGTGATTGGGATACCGAAATTATTTAGGGATTGAGATTTGGGTTGACTTTAGGGTGTAATTCGGTATTCGGAATTTTGATATTTGGTATTGGGATACCGATACCGTACCGATTTCCACCCCTAGATATGATCCGTAAGATCGATTAACGAGGTCTAAGCAAAATGATGTTATTTACTTATTTTAGTGAATTTAATTTATAAAAAATGTATTTATTACATATTTTATGAATACAAAAGTTCAAAGTTGATGTAATTCATTGGATTCAGGTCTACTTTAACAAGTCAAGTTCAAGAAAATATCAGGTCAACAATTGCTTGAACAAGAAGCAATTATGAGCTTGCATCTCTATTCGAATGTCCTACCACCTAATCCCGTCTCCGTCTGGATTGCTCACCGACCACAGTTTGGCCAACGTTATGTACAATTCATTCTTTAGTTCTTTCCATAGTTTGACCAGACCCTCACGATGGCAGCCTCTGAGACAGGTAAAGAGACAGTTCATCTCTCATTTCTGCACCTTTCATGTCGAAGACCGACCCACAAATCTGCTGCCTATAGCCAGAGTCGTGTTCGTCCAATGACAATGGAATTGCAGCCTGAACCTCATCTTCCATGTCTATAGCAATGTTGTGAAGCAAGCAGCACGCCAAAACGACCCTGGGCATCCTGTGCCTATCCGGTCTCCACATTTGCCCTCGGATGATCTTCCACGACCCCTTCAACCTCGCCAGTGCTCTTTGAGCCACTAACCGGGTACCCAAATGTCGTCGATTGAACTCAGAGCTTCCATCCGAGAGCTCGTTCTCGTATGGAACCATGAGATATGGCAGCAGAGGGAACCCTGAATCCCCAATTATGTACTCCCTTATCTCTGTTAGCTGCTGCACCACCTTCTTCCCATTGAGCCTCTCCCCATTTTCGCACAGCTTTTGGAAGGTAGAGTTCTGAAACACTGCCCAATCGTCCATTTTACCTGGCCATCCAGTAACGATGTCCAAAAACCTCATCTCGGGATCCACAATCACCTGCAACACCATGCTGTAGTTTTCCTCGCCATCGAGCCACACGTTGCTGGTGGGATCTGATGTGGATAGGAGCATAGTAATGTGGGTCGTGTCAACAACGCCACAGCAATTGGGAAGACCCTGAAATTTCTGGAACTTTGATTTTATTTCAACCATTTCCAGCTCGGTCGATGGCCAGCTGAGGTGGTGGAGCGCTCTTTGTTCAAGAGCCTGCACGAACCGCCATGTAACTTGGGAGACGGTCGAGTTGTTCAGCCCAAATGAACCGGCGATCGCTGCTAGTGAGTCCCCAGTGCCTAGCCTCCTCAGAGCTACTGCTACTTGATCGTGTAAGGACAGTAGTCTTCCATTGAGAAATGTGAATTCCCTTGATTTGGAAGTCAGGTCGTCCTTGACGAGCGAACATATGTAGGTGAAAGTTTTCCTGGAAATCTTGAAAATGAGTTCAAACTTGTCCAGACTTTTCATTGGAGATTGATGACCACCTTCTGCAGGTTTTGCCAAGAAAAGAGAAGAAATTAATTGCTCATCTGTAATATGTATAACATTCATGAGACTTTTAGTACGGTAATTTGCAATATACATTGCCAGCATACTTCCAATCACAAAATCAAAGTTAATAAAGCATCAAGCATATGAACCATGTAGCAGTTGACATGAAATATTCTACTTACATACTTCCATATGGAAAGCAAACACATCCAGAAAGGACATTTAGTGGGCAAAATATCAGAGGCGTAGTTTTAGTTTCCGGATGCCACCTTGAACTCTCTATGGCCACAAGATGGTAACAGCAAATGGAACCATAAGGTACTACATCGGCAGGCTCGACCGTCACATTCACATCAAAGGCGGGAATCTACCAGAAACATCAACTACTAAATACAGGGAACTACTAAAATCGAAGTTATAGAAACTATTATAAATGCAATATCATGACCCTCTTCACACCTTAAACGAACAACGTAGAAAAGTCTGTGTGAGAATGTTCAACCTAATGTTCAGTTCTGATAACACTGCCTCGACATGCTGCAAAAATCTTAAGCATGAGGTCTTAATCTATGGTCCAAAAATGGGTATCTGGAGTATGTTCACCAGTGTCTAATTCAAATGGTTACGAACCCATTTCGCTACTCTGAAAGCTTAACTCAGAGATTACAAGTACAGAAGCTAAGGATGTTAATATGATTATAAATACTAGACAAGTGAGCTAGAATTCAGCATTTGCAAGAATCAGGTGTTAACATATGTAACAGAAATTCCTCACCTAGACTTCAAACAGGGGAATGCTTATGAGTACAGATATCTCTTGTTATCCCTTCACCCCATTTCTCGCCGAAGACATTCCTCAATTACCCACCCCACTGTAATAACATTCCTAATTGCTCTGATCCTACATTATTTTAAACACTACAATTTGCTATCTCCCAACTAAAAGGCATACCCACCCATTTTTAGTCCAAGAAGGAGCATAAGCAAAGAGAATACGAACAGCATCCCGGATTAGTGCAATAATAATGTCAGTCAAATGCATTATCTGAATCCAATTCCAGTTCCAAAGATGAGCTACGCAAAATATAAAACCCTACATTTGACATAAAAGCTTATACATGCTCCCAAATGAAAATGTCAAAGCTACAGAACACAGTGAATCAAACCCTGGAAATATGCAGAAGCAAAAATTTTACAGCCCCGAGCTGGATTAGCAGCAGAAAATACTACGATACCAGCAGGCAACAGATCGTTATATAATATAAACACAACAAGAAAATACCAAAAAAACAAATAGAGGGCTTGGCAAGAGCAACATAATTATATTCTGGAGGCTAATGTAGGGTGAAGATAGAAGAAGAGCAAACCACGAAGCCTTCTGGAGAAGTCATCCCACCAATCCAAAGAGCATTCAGAAGCTGCTGAACCATAGCCATTCTCATCGCTCTTCTTATCGCCTCTTTTCCTCTTTCTGTTCCCTCTTATGGGTCCCATATTCGTCGTCCTCCTCTCCACCAACGAACGGCACAGAAACCCAATTGAGAACTTATTCAAAACTCGGCCGAGTCTACACAACCCAACTCACTGCCTCCACACCCCCATCAGAGCAAGGAAAAATACCCATTTGAAAGATAGGCGCGAGACACAGAGCAGAAGGCTGAATACATAACAAGGAACAAAAGAGAAGGAATGAACAGAAGAGGAAAGGGAAGGGAACTTACCGCAAAAAGTCAGTTTGACGAGAGAGAGAGAGAGACCACCAGGTCGAGGCAATGGAGGAAGGAGGAGCTGGGCAGTCGTGGCATGCAAATACTTTGGAAGGAAAAAAAATTCGACTATTTGAAGCCAAAGCGACAAAGTTAGTTGCAGTGCGGAGTTGGAGTGTGCGTCTCCCGCAGAAAGAGAGAGAGAGAGAGTAGTGTGTGTCTATTGAGTGGTCCTTTGAAGCATGCAAACAAATAACCGAAAGAAGAAGAAAAAGGAACAACGAGAAATAAGCAGTGAACGAGAGACGGAAGAGATGAGAAGGAGAAAGCTTGAATGAATAGTTCGAGGGGTGCGTTTTTGTTTTAGACAATGGAGGTAGCTAAGCTAATCTAAACCCAGCAACTTGGTTAGCGGACTGGGTAAGAATTAATTGGGTTTGTTTTTTCTTTAAATTGGGGTGGAAAAAGCGAAATAATTGATCATATGAAGAAATAAGAAAAGGACATTCGACGAATTGATGATGCAAAAATAAGATGGACTACAATTATTGGGTCGTTTTGGAGAATGAGATTTAGGGCGTGAATTCATTGAATCGGTAGATTTTATAAAAATATGTGTTTTTTTATTGCTTTTTGTATTGTAGATATTAGTTTTAGAAATATCAAATCTCTAAATTTTACGGATATCAAATCTCTTATAATTAGAGAGATTCTATATCTTAATTTGTAAGATTTTTTTTTTCACGCACTTTTTCTCTTTTATTTTATTTTATTTATCATATTAAATATATTTATCAATAAAGTTTTAAATATTTTCTCGAACCAATCTAATTTTTTAATAATGATAAACATGTTATTTAATATAAAATTAAATTTTTTTATATTTATTGAATGTTAACAATCACAGTTACCAAACAATAAACATTTTAAAATTTATTTTCAACAATCCGAAGAGTTAAAATCTTTAAATTGTTGACTATCTATAGATTTAAACTCATATTCTCCAAACGATCCCTAGACAATTAATCCATGTATGTTATTATGGTTGTTGTTTTTCTGTATTTAATTTATCCATTATACAGAGGGAGCTTATGATATATCTTTGATTTAGCATATAATACCTTTAAATTACTTCTAAGACAGTAGTAATAAGGGTAAATTGCAAGATTGGTCACTAAGATTATTAAAAACGTTCATGTTTGGTCACTACAAATATTTAATTTCATTCGTGGTCATTATGTTTACTAAAACATGTCATGTTTGGTCACTCTCCGTTAGTGTCCATTAACAACGTCAGTTTTTTGCTGACGTGGCTAACAGAATCGCCCAATCAGCTTATTTTAAACCGAAAAAATTTATACCCGACCCGCCACGTAATCAAAACTTGCCACATCATCAAAAATCAACCCCAAGTTTTGACCTGAGAAACTAAACACAACCCTCCTCATCTTCCCCGATCCACTCTTCTTCTTCTTCTTCTTCTTCTTATTCCCTAATCCATATCCCGTCGTTGTCTTATTTTTTTATTTTTTGCTCTTCCTTCTCCTATTCCAATTTCCAGGACATGATCAATCCTCCTTTTCTTCTGTAGTAGGAAGCCAAGACAAGCCTACTTTGTCGCCATCACCTCGTCCTCACACTCTAAGAAATTTTGTCTTGGACTCTGCATTTGAGGGAAAGAGAAGCCTATTGTCTAGGGGGCCACTTGAACCATTGCCGGCCTCACAAACTGAAATACTCGGAACCACCAACTTCTCCGTCGAAATCGTCCAACCCGACGACGTCACTCGAAATGATGGGATCATCCAGGGAATCGAGCGCCTCCTCATCCCTTAGTCCGTATAGGAAGATATCAACCTGCGCATGAATCTCAGAGCCATCTCCGCTGTCATCCAAATGGAGCTGGTGAAGTGAATCCCAGAACCCACCGATTGAAACAACCCGCAGCGGCAGTACCTGTGGGAGCCGCACCTATCCTCTCCTATATATGAAGCTTTGGCCCAGGTCCTTCTCTAGCACAGGCTCCTGCTCCGGGACCCGAAGGCCCACACCACCACTTCGACGGGCACGGCCAGGTGAAGGAATTTGTTGAAGCCACGAAGAAGCCACGAAGCTCTTCGCCCACCAGACTCCTCCAACTGCTCCACGCCTAACGCTTGGACCCTGCAGGACGGGCGCCTAGAGGGCTAGACCCGCCCGTTAGCACTCCAACGATCAAGTCAGAAGCAACTCTAGAGAGAGAAGTGAAGAAAGAAGTTTTAGTGTGAGAAAACCGACCTGCTTAAATGCTACCTACCAAGTGCTATTTATACTACTCGGACTCCTCGACCAAGCTCCGACCAACTCCTGCCACCAAGCCTTACGTCAGCCTAGCATTAAATGCTTGGTCTGCCCTGGCGCCTACGCGTCTACAAGTGGCACACTGTCCGTTTTCCACGTCGGGGCGCATAGGGGGACCACTGGCCTCGTGGCGCCCTTCTGACCTTGCCCATCCGTACTTCCTTGTCTGCGAGCCTATTTTGTCGTCATGCGCCCCCTTTTCCTTCATAGCTACCTAGGTTATGCCCTCATGGGCCATAAATGGGCTTGATGTCCAATAGGCACCTGCCTTTCATGGGCTTGTTTCTATTACCCTAATCATGGGTCATGCCCCAGATAGGTCATAAGTGGGCCTCCGGCCCAACGGGCTCTTTATTTTCGTAGGCTTATCTCTATTACCCCAACAATTGCCCCCCAGTTAGGTGTTCACTGGTGAGCGCCTAACTATGACCCTGGCCAACATGAGGCTTTACAACAGGTGTGACGACAAAACTCCATGCGCTTCTAAATGATAGAAGGGGCTCTCGGGGTCACCTTGCCCCCCTCTCCTAGTTAAGAAGGCTTTCTTCCTTTTACACTTACTTAATCGAGCCCCAGGCTGCCTCGCGCCTGCCTCAAATGGGTCTGCGCCTACCAGATGAAAGGGGCGCTCAGGGTTGCCTTGCCCCCCTCTCCTAGCTAAGACGACTTTCTTCCTTTACGTTTATTTGATCGACACTCACGGCGCCTTGCGCCTACCTCGACCTTGATCCTACAAGGCGCATGACGCCTCGACCTTGATCCTACAGGGCGCATGACCGTATCTCCTGCCCCCCACTCGGCGTGCGTTCAAATTTTGAATTTCAAGACCCCAATTTCAAAATTCAAATTTTGAACGGAGGGCGAGGATTGGACTGTTCCGCGTGCGATTTCCGAGGTGACTCTTCACCTCCTCCCTTCCTCTTATAAATATTCACTCTCCTCTCCATTCCTCCTCATTCGCCCCAAATCTACTTCTCTCTCTACTTCCTCTCTCTAGCTGCTCCCTCTCTTTCACGCCCACGCGCCTGCCTTTCTCTCGTCTGTGCGCTCGTTTCCCTCTTATCACGTTATGTCTCAGTCAGATTCTGGCGCGGCCCCTACATCCGCCGACAAGGGCGCAAGCACCGCGCCTAGCGTTTTTGACGTGCTGGAGCAGCACCTATCGCCTGACCCCCTGCGAAACCAGGACCAGAGAGCGCCTCGATCCAATAAGGAGGCGCCTAAGCAAGCAAAGGCTAACCCTTCCTCTAGTGCGCCTGCTAATGTGGATGCGCCCTCAGCGGCCACCACAGCCTCGACTGCGCCCGCGACCGGGGAGGCGCCTGATGCATCTACCCCAACGAACTCTACCGCCGATCAAGGTACCTTCCTCTTACCCCTCTGCGCTCTAAACCCTTTGTATTTGCATTCAACCTTTGCTAGGCGCCTGTTAGCGATCTTAGGCCCGTATCATTGACCAAAGGCGATTTGATCAATTTTAGGCTCCACGCCTACCTCGTCAGGGTCGGGTGAGTTGCTGAGTTCTCCGGCATCCACCAACTCGGGCGCCCCTGCAGATGGGTCTTTCAAGATAGTGGACTGGGCTGACACCTGGCCGCAGGGGGGGGGCGCCTGCAAACATCAATGAATTGCCCGTGCGTCTAGCCGGGCCGAATCACGTGGCCACGGTCAAGATAGCAGAGTTGCATCGACTGATAACATCATGCAACCTGCCTCGAAGTTGGTCTTATGCGCCTGCCCCACCGTTCACCCGGATAGGCGTGGTGGGTCCGAATTGGGTTGGCATCTACAGAGAGTACTTCAAGTTCGGATTGCGGTTCCCCTTGGATTCGATTTTGGAAGGGATCTTGGAGATATGCCGCTGTCCCATTGGGCGTCTATCACCATCCGTTTTTTTATACATATATTGTTCAAGTTAAAGTGCCGTCAGAACAATATCCCGCCCACGTTCAAGCTTTTTAGGCACTTTTTCACGATGACTAGCAGCAACAACTGCGTGTCTATACAGAGGCTCTTGGACATTCCGGGGCACTTTGTAGAGGATTGCCCCAAACTGGGGCGCTCATGGTACAGATCCTATTTTTTTATCAAACCACACGCGGACTCCTTCTATGAGAGTGGTGCTCAGTTTACCCGGCGTTGGAGAATTGGTAGTACCTCCCGCTTCAATGTAGAGGAGGAGCTAAGCAGCGATGAAAGGGAATATGCGCGCCTGTTGTCCCTTCATCCGGTCAACCTAAGTTCTACAGCCGCGCGTGTCCCTGTGCTGCATGAGTACTATGCTGAGGGTGGGTAGGCGCATAGCATTGCGTTTGCGACGCCGCTGGTTAATGCGCCTGTGTTATACATATATGGCTAACTCTATTTTAACTATGTTGTGTATTTTCTTTTCAGGCGTGGACTACACCTCCGTGGCTTCCTTGATGAAAACCCAGCTGGAGAACATGGGTTTAGACTACCAAGCGCCTGTTTTCCCAGGCAAGGCGCCTTCGAGTCGGAAGAAGGACGCCTCCAAGAAAGGAAAGGGGAAAACCGCCCCAATACAAGCAAAGACCTCAAGCACAAACGATGCGCCTACTGCTCCGGCCAGCAGAGGAAAGGGGCGCACGAGTCCTCGAAGAATTAAGCCACAAAAGGTGGCTAGCGCTCCTGAAGAGAGTGCGCCTGCCAATGCCCAACCTGAAGAGGGGGCGCCTCTTGCCGTGCAGTCCGATCCTGAGTTGGACATTGATGAAGTCCCCCTTTCGAGCAGGCTCAAAAGGAAGGCTGATGACGGCGCATCGACGCATGGCAAGAAGCAGCGCACGGGAGAGGAGGCGCGGGTCCCTCCCTTTGTGGAAAAGTGGCTGCAACCGCCAAAACACAAGGTCATCGTGGAATGCTCGGACAGGTCTGCACTGGAGCGAAGCTCGGCGCTCGGCTTCGCTTTCCACTCCGCCGAGGTACTGCGAGCGCCCTCGA